GTCATGGAGGAGAGAGGGTGAAGGACAGACTTTTGCCCAAATTAGAAAAAGCCATTGTATCCGAGGTGAGGATATTGGGCTTCATGATTCACAGTACTGAGAGGAGAGAGAGAGAGAGAGGAGAGAGATAGAGAGAGGAGAAGAATAGGAGAGCGATAGAGAAGAGGTAGAAGGAGAGAGAGAGAGAGAGAAGAGAGAGACGAGGAGACAGAGAGAAGTAGAGAGGAGAGCTATGCAGATCATATAGATCGAGCGAGAATCTCTATATATCTCGCTATCTTCTCTTATATATTCTCTCGTCTCCTGCTCTCTCTCTCTCTCGTCTCAGAGAGCTCATCCATCTCTACGTCTCATCTCGCATACTCTCTCTGCTCCTCTACATCTAGCTCTACTAGCTTATCCTGGCTCCTATGGGACTCACTGCCATAATGAGGCTATGCCAAATTAATCTTCCTTATGTAAAACCTCATATCATGACTGTAACTCGCTTTGGATAAAAGCGTCTGCTAAATGGCATATTATTATATCCACTGCATACCTAAGGAAGTGTTGTCAGTACATCTAGTGTCTGTGATAGTACAGTAGTAGGAACACTGGGCAGTTTGGTGGGTTAAACCTGGACTGGTCCTCAGCATCAGCATGTTTTCATGAACGGGTCAGCCTTTCAGTTGACAATATAAGTAGAATATTCTATCTTCATCGCTATTTAACCACACACCCTTTTTTGGCATCAGAAAACAAACAAACGAGTAAACAACATCAACAACGTGTCACAGGAATTCATCGTGGGCCACACAGCAGAACAGTTTTCACACACCACCTAAAAGCTTTAAAACGTATGTATTGTAATACATACTGTGCGTAAGGACCCGACAGGACCATGTTGATTTCTACAGAATTGATAGCAGGACAACATCTACAATAGGGATAATTTAAAAAAACTAAAATATATTCAGTCTCTGTTGCAGCTTAGATAACTCTGGACTAAAACCTTGGCAAGGGACATTTTTGTGCAAGTTCAACCCCCCTCTCCATCGTCAGCATTCAAAACTTTGGCTTAATATTACCACTCACCAACAACAACGCTCAAGACACCCAGCATCTTTACACATTCAGTTAAGAGCAAACAATCCAGTCGTGATGCACATTTTCAAGGTCCTTGAATTTGTGAATCACTTTAGATGATGAAAAAGCACAGTACAGTTTCATATGTCAACTCCCCCGGTTCCCCCCAGCCAGTCCCCATGCTGTCTGTTTGTACTAAGCTCAGGGAGCCTGCCAGCCCTGTGGATCAGAGCTGCCCTCCCCTGCTGTATAGCCATTCCAACACATGACCTGTCTGGTAACACAGATGGATCCAACATTTAACCACTCAAGAGAGAATGGCACCTAGTGTACTCTGGGATTTAGCATGCTTCTAAATGTGGTCCTCTGTAGCTCAATTGGTAGAGCATGGTGCTTGTAACGCCAGGGTAGTGGGTTCGATCCCCGGGACCACCCATACGTAAAAATGTATGCGCACATGACTAAGTCGCTTTGGATAAAAGTGTCTGCTAAATGGCATATTATTATTATTATTCTACTGTCAATAACAGCAAAGCTATAGCAATGCAATATGACACCTTGCCTATTTTCTCTTAAGGGCTGAGACGCCAGGCCATGTAGCTGTCCAAACAGCTAGAGGGAGGGACCAGTTATAAAGCTTTGCTTTCCTAACAACTAGCTACTCCACTGCACCACAAAATATAGGGAAGGTGCAATTTCTCACATTTTAAAAGTTGTCTGTAAAAAGAACAGTGGACTGAGATCCATCCGTGTCCAAACCAGGATATATTTCCAGTTGAACTTCCAGTGTTCCCAACTTCCCACTGAACCCTAGTCTATGTCTTTAAAAAAACACACTGAAATAGTGGGGCCAATTCAAAGCACATAAAAATAACTGTCAAAACATGGAAAATAGAAACAATGGGACAAGAGAGCAGCAGACAGAAGATTAGCGCAACATTTTAAAGAACTAGCTATCATACAGCTCTACTATCATACAGCTCTACTATCATACAGCTCTACTATCATACAGCTCTACTATCATACAGCTCTACTATCTGGTTCATACAAAAACACATCCTTGTTTTACATATTAGTTTGATGCCTAAAGCCCATTCCAATGCCTGGGGAGTGGCAGGTTGGAGGGAATAGGCTAACCCTGGGGAATATAAAGCACTGTGTGCAAGAGGCATAGCTTACTAAGGACCACTCTTCACACTTATTCAGTTCATACAAATAAACCAGAACTCAGACCTATCAGGATCATTTAAAGGTGCATTGATTATTATTGTTCTATGTCTTTTTTTTCCTAAATAGCCAAAATAAGTTGAGAGCAAATCGGTTTTGCAAACAAATCCATTTCTTTAGAAATTGAGAATCTGTCACAAGAGATTTAAAGTGCATTCATTGATTGATTTGATAATACGGCCCATCCTTAAAATAGGGGAAACTTAACCCTTCCCTTATTTTCCTGGTCGATTTAACCCAGGACAGTTTGAAATCACTAAAATACTATTTTACGTAATTTTTACACCATGACCCTTCATCTACTTTCCTAAGTATGGGTCTCAAACTTGTTAAACGCGTAATAAAAAAAAGAAATAATAATAATAATAATAATTAGACCCGGTACCGGAATATTGACATCAACGATGTTCTGGGTCAATTGGACCCGGAATTTGACCTTAGTCTATATAACTTTTGAACAGTTTGTCCTAGCTGATTTTTGCAACCATGCTGATCACATATAATTATGATGTCCCTATGATGCTTAGAAGCTGAGCAACACTTATCTGAAGTTAATTTGACCATGACGTTGACCTTTGTGCTAGAGACAAATGGTCTTCTGTGCAGTAAAGATCTATCCATGATGATCACAAGGATATACGTATGTTCTCCCTGTGATGTTCAGAGGCTGAGGGACAGTGATCTGATGTCATAAATGTTATAAAATGTAATTTAGATTTACGACTTTGGTACAATAATCAAACATTTGGCTCTAAATTTTGAACAGTTGAGTCTATCAACAAAGGGATAAAAGCATACGAAAGAGGACATTCTTAGCTACCGGAAAATAAATACATTATGGGAGGTTAAAGTCATATTTGTGATCTTGATGTACTTACTGTATGGGTCAAATTAACCCGGGAACAAACGGTGTAGGCCAAATCGAACATAAGGGAAGGGTTAAGATATGTCAGAGGCTGACATGGCCATATTGACATCACATTGTGGTTTGCCTTGTTTCTTTTTCATAGAGATTACCTAAGTGAGGGACACTTCTTTTCTTTGAGTTTAGATGCTCCTGATCTACATTTGGATACAATATCAAGCTTAAAGCCAACAATGATTATGAAATTAACAAACATAAAAATTACCGCCAGGTAACAAAGGAATTACAATGTCAATCCAAAAAAAAGTTTAAAAAGAGTTTAGCATGGTAATGTGTAAGTCGGATTAAAAACGGAAAAGTCCATGATTTGTGAAAAGAGACTAGTTATATACACTAAAATATCCCCACATATGGTAGCTTAACAAAAGGTTGATCGAACCGTAAGAAATACAAAGAAAAACCATAGACACAAAGAAAAACCATACACACAAACACAAATACATAGACAGTGAGGAGACAAAAAGGCTTGACAGGCAGACCTGCAGGTGATTCACAGTTAGCCACATGGTCACAGTTGAGAATTCAATCTGCAGCATTTAGTTCCAGGTTGCAGACAGCCAGTCAAACCGTTTGGGGAAAAAACATTTGAAAAGTTCTGATGGCATGTCATTGAGAGTTGTCACTATATAGCATTTCATTCCTAGTGGTGTGCCTCAAAGAAAAGGGCTGTGAGAGAGCAGGAATCCTGCTTTATCCAGGCCCACAGGGATCTAGCCTAACACTGACCGCTGCAGACAGCTTTACCCACAGCCAAACAAACACAGTACCTGGCAACCTTTCACATTCAGACACCAAAGTGCAGTTTAAAGATATCAGCTTTACTTTAAATAAAAATCATAGCTTACTAAATAACTGGAGGACACAGTCCCCAATGATTTCCATAACCGTAAGGCCTTTCTGGGCTTAAAATCTTGTACCACAAGATTCTCTCTGCAGGAGAGCTTGAATAAAGACACTACCACAACAATCACATTTATGTAAACTCAAATCTAAAAGTTGGATCTCTCAAGTAGGGTATATACTGTAAATCATTATACAGAAAACAACATATCTTCTCAAGAACGTTACACGTCTGATGTGGACAAGCACCGCAGACAAACAATGATAAACCTCTCTTTACAAAACTGTTAATGTTCATTGGTGCTCTATACTATGGAAATCCAAATTGCATATTTCCATGGACGATAAGGAGTCCTCAAACCTTGCCTCCAAACTAGATGAGCACACAGCAATCATCTCTAGGGCAACAGAATATCTGCTCAATGTGGCATCTATCAATGAAGACATGTATATCGGAGAGACCCCGTTGAAGAAGTGTGTATTAACATCCTCTCCACGTCACTGTAAGTACCAATAGCACACAGAGACCTCAACACTAAGGCCTTCAGCATGGCTAACCTCTCAACCACCACACACTAGCATGATTATTCCAGAATATCTTCTTACTATCAGAAGAGTAATTTTTCAAGGGAAATCACTAAGAATATTAGGATACAATGTCATGTTCTGACACAGAACATTTTGTTTGAGCGCCACTGCATTCTCTCACAACCAGTTTGATTTTAGAATCTCTCACACCAGTTCATACGACACACCAAAACGTTTAACCACTCCCTGCATTGATTGGCAGGTAAAGCTGTCTTCCAGCTAATGGATTTAGGGCCTTGAGCGCCTACTGACAATCTCTAGTGCTGGCCTGGCACACATGAACCTACCCACCCTCTTCTGTTTCAGCAGTCCAAGAAAAGAGAATGAGCTCTTGTATGGTGACAACTTTTCATCACTACATGCCATCGTATGTGAAATTCTCCATCTTGACGGTTTGTCTAATAAGCAGCTTCGATTCCCGCCTCTCCTCGTTCTTGATGGATTTGTTGATATCCATAATTTTTTCACAGATGTATTTGTTCACTTTGGACAATCTTTGTGTGATCTCTGCGCCGTCTGCCGTTTCTTGAGACACTCTGTCATACAGACACTCTGCAAAAAAGGGAAATAAATAAAAGTGTGTATTATTCATCAAATCACAAGAGATATTCCAAACTTTGTGAGTTACAAACCGTGCCTAAAACATCTGACCAACAGGCCTACACAGTTTTACCTCTGACTATTTTGAGCTTGCTTGGGGAGAGGGGGGGCTTGGGAAGGGCATCTTTCTTCTTTTTGGTGGCCACGCCAGTGACACTCCTGTTCTTGAGGGTCTCAGTGCCCCAGATCATGACGGCAAGGTTCTTGGTGAACTTGGAGTCTCCCTGTGTCCGCTGCAGCTGGTGCCACTTCTCTTCCTGCACCCAGATACCCCCACCCAGGTGCACCTGCAGGAACACAGCACAGCTATGTAGCGAAGTTCACCTACACTCAGACCTGAGGCCACACTATAACCTATAGCAGCAAAGCCCATCCTACAACCATTCAGCCCAAATAAGAAATCAAAGAGCCATGTTTCAGCAGCTGCATAAATAAGTAAGGGGCAATGGTTTCCAGCCTGGATGACTGAGTATTTATAATGGCATAGAACCACAGAATGGCACATTGCGTAAGTCTGCACCAAACAACGCTACAAGCGGATTGACAGGCCTGCCCTGAGTTATAGGTGAGCTAATGCTGAGAGCGCCATGTGTGCCACCCTGCCTTTATCACTGAGAAGTTGAGAAGTCTTTAGGCTGGCATCCAAAGGCTTTTCCCTTTGCAGCTAATGTGCTTTAGGCCCATGGCCAGCAGACAAGCTTTCCACTGCTCTTAACTTAGAGGAACCCTTTCTCTATTTTCTTTCTAGGACTACCTGTCAGTCACTTCAATTCCTCTGGTAGAAATCATTAATAGCAGGCAATGTGTGAGAGTTCTAATTTGCTTTTGTTCTTCACGCTTGAACTGAGAGGCTCTCTGCTTGTAACACAAATTCCCCCGTCATGTGAAGCAGGCAGAATTAGCCCTGCAACCACTAACAGGGCAATAAACAGTGCTGATGCCGAAGCTATAATAAGGACAATCATCTCAGCCTTGTTTACCCTCAAGGAGAGGAGAAGGCTAATGCAATGCAAGTACATGTGTAAGGGAAAATGTATTGCTTCCTCCCCATCAAAGCGACCACAGCGAGGAAGACAGGGGGGGAGACCGGGGGTGGTGAGACTCACCTTGCCATCATTAAAAGTGTAGACTGTTCTTGGGGAGGGGGAGTGGCTGGAGCTGGTATTGGCCTCTTCTCTGCACACTTCCTGTGGCTCAATGATGGGCTCCACCACCTCCGCTTTGATTGTCTGAGTGCCATTGTCATGCATAGGCTCTGTATAAGGTGCAAAAACAAAAGTAATGTTGAGATGCATATCTCTAGGCATATTGTGTAGTCTCTCAGGAACAACAAGCCTACAGCACTAACAGTCTTTGACTCAACCACAACAGCATGTGGTCAGGGAGTTCTAGTCTTAGCTTTGGACCAGTGCATGCAGCAAGGCTTCACTGTGCATGGAGACAGCGGTACTATTTTAGCCCAGTAAGCTGGCTTGGTGGCTGGCCACACTAAGCTCTAATGTAGCTGATGAGTTTTAATATCGGTCAGCGCACTACATTCCTGATCCCAAAGCACCCTGGCCAGTCTAATCTTTAGCCTGTCCATTAGACTGCCTGGCCCCCATATCACACACCAGGGGCACCAATGCAGAACATGTGCAGATGGCCATGGGACTGGCTTAAAGGGAAAATCCACTAAAAAACTATATTTTTGTATTTAGTTGAGCATTGAGTGAACAAGCACTTCACACTCAATATTTACGCAATATAGGAAGGTTACCTACAAACCCACAAATTCAAAATCCAGACAACTCTAAATGTGGGCGACACTAGTCTAGTAAAACAGTTTTTTCTTAACCTGAACAGATGTGAATGGGAGGCTGCAGTGAGAGGTGACTGGAGAGTGTGTGTCTCTCACCGCTGCCCAGCCTCATGAGGAGCACGTCCTGCAGCCTCCTGTTGAAGTCACGTAGCTCCTTCACTTCTGTCAGCAGGCTGCCATACTCCTTCAGCTTCTTGGCCTGCTGGACCAGCTGCCTGCGGGTTCTCTCCAGCTCCTGTTGTAGCCTCCTCACCTCTTCCTCCTGCTGCCTGTAGCTGTGGACCAGCTCCTCATATAGAACCCGCGGTACCAACGCCTCCTCAGGCACAGAGTCCCCCTCCTCTTCCTCCTCCTCTTCTTCTTCCTCCTCCTCCTCAGCCAGCCTGTCCTCCTCCAGGTCTTCCTCTTCCTCCATGCAGGAACCCACAGCGTTCCTCTCCAGGCGGGCCACCACCGCTGCCAGGCTCTTGGAGGAGTTGGCAGTGGGACGCCCATGGTCCTGTGTCTGGGCCTGTGGAATCAAAAAGGGACTTTATGCAGTTTATCGTTATTTAAAGCACAAGGGATATCAATGTGATAATGATGTGGAGACTGCATAATCATTTCATGTGATAAGAGTGATCTGGTGTGTGTCATAACTGTCATAATTTCACTCAAATAAAAACACTTACTGTACGTTATGAATGTGTGACTATATATTTATTTTGAAATGTTGAGTAGATGTCAAAAACCCACATACAGTGGCTTCGGAAAGTTTTCAGACCCCTTGGCTTTTCCCACATTTTGTTACATTACAGCCTTATTCTAAAATTGATGAAATTGTTTTTTCCCCCCTTCAATCTACAGACAATACCCCATAATGACAAAGCAAAAAACTGGTTTAGAAATGTTTGCTAATTTATTAAAAATAAAAAACTGAAATATTCAATTTATGTAACTATTCAGACCCTTCACTCAGCACTTTGTTGAAGCGGCTTTGGCAGCGATTACAGCGTCAAGTCTTCTTGGGTATGACACTACAAGCTTGGCACACCTGTATTTGGGGAGTTTCTCCCATTCTTCTCTGCAGATCCTCTCAAGCTCTGTAAGGTTGGATGGGGAGCATTGCTGCACAGCTATTTTCAGGTCTCTCCAGAGATGTTCGATCGGGTTCAAGTCTGGGCTTTGGCTGGGCCAGTCAAGGACATTCAGAGACTTGTCTCGAAGCCACTCCTGCATTGTCTTGGCTGTGTGCTTAGGGTCGTTGTCCTGTTGGAAGGTGAACCTTCGCCCCAGTCTGAGGTCCTGAGCGCTCAGGAGCAGGTTTTCATCAAGGTTCTCTCTGTACTTTGCTCCGTTCATCTTTGCCTCGATCCTGACTAGTCTCCCATCCCTGCCGCTGAAAAACATCCCCAGAGCATGATGCTACCATGCTTCACCGTAGGGATGGTGCCAGGTTTCCTCCAGACGTGACGCTTGGCATTCAGGCCAAAGAGTTGAATCTTGGTTTCATCAGACCAGAGAATCTTGTTTCTCATGGTCCGAGAGTCTTTAGGTGCCTTTTGGCAAACTCCACGCGGGCTGTCATGTGCCTTTTACTGAGGAGTGGCTTCTGTCTGGCCACTCCACCATAATGGCCTGATTGGTGGAGTGGTGTAGAGATGGGAGAACCTTCCAGAAGGACAACCATCTCCACAGAGGAACTTTAGAACTCTGTCAGAGTGACCATCGGGTTCATGGTCACCTCCCTGACCAAGGCCCTTCTCCCCCGATTTCTCAGTTTGGCGGGACGGCCAGCTCTAGGAAGGCTCGTGTTGGTTCCAAACTTCTTTCATTTAAGAATGATGGAGGCCACGGTGTTCTTGTGGACCTTCAATGCAGCAGACATTTTTTGGTACCCTTCCCCAGATCTGTGCCTCGACACAATCCTGTCTCGGAGCTCTGCGGACAATTCCTTCGACCTCATGGCTTGGTTTTTGCTGACATGCACTGTCAACTGTGGGACCTTATATAGACAGGTGTGTGCCTTTCCAAATCATGTCCAATCAATTGAATGTACCACAGGTGTACTCCAATCAAGTTGTAGAAACATCTCAAGGATGATCAATGGAAACAGGATGCACCTGAGCTCAATTTCGAGTCTCATAGCAAAAGGACAGAATACTTATGTAAATTAGGTATTTCATTTCATATATATATATATATATATCACACACACCCGTTCAAAAGTTTGGGGTCACTTAGAAATGTCCTTGTTTTCGAAAGAAAAGCAATTATTTTGTCCATTAAAATAACATCAAATTGATCACAAATACAGTGTAGACATTGTTAATGTTGTAAATGGCTATTGTAGCTGGAAACGGCTGATTTTTTATGGAATATCTACATACAGTGGGGAGAACAAGTATTTGATACACTGCCGATTTTGCAGGTTTTCCTACTTACAAACCATGTAGAGGTCTGTCATTTTTATCATAGGTACACTTCAACTGTGAGAGACGGAATCTAAAACAAAAATCCAGAAAATCACATTGTTTGATTTTTAAGTGATTAATTTGCATTTTATTGCATGACGTAAGTATTTGATACATCAGAAAAGCAGAACTTAATATTTGGTACAGAAACCTTTGTTTGCAATTACAGAGATCATACGTTTCCTGTAGGTCTTGACCAGGTTTGCACACACTGCAGCAGGGATTTTGGCCCACTCCTCCATACAGACCTTCTCCAGATCCTTCAGGTTTCGGGGCTGTCGCTGGGCAATACGGACTTTCAGCTCCCTCCAAAGATTTTCTATTGGGTTCAGGTCTGGAGACTGGCTAGGCCACTCCAGGACCTTGAGAAGCTTCTTACAGAGCCACTCCTTAGTTGCCCTGGCTATGTGTTTCGGGTCGTTGTCATGCTGGAAGACCCAGCCACGACCCATCTTCAATGCTCTTACTGAGGGAAGGAGGTTGTTGGCCAAGATCTCGCGATACATGGCCCCATCCATCCTCCCCTCAATACAGTGCAGTCGTCCTGTCCCCTTTGCAGAAAAGCATACCCAAAGAATTGTGTTTCCAACTCCATGCTTCACGGTTGGGACGGTGTTCTTGGGGTTGTACTCATCCTTCTTCTTCCTCCAAACATGGCGAGTGGAGTTTAGACCAAAAAGCTATATTTTTGTCTCATCAGACCACATGACCTTCTCCCATTCCTCCTCTGGATCATCCAGATGGTCATTGGCAAACTTCAGACGGGCCTGGACATGCGCTGGCTTGAGCAGGGGGACCTTGCGTGTGCTGCAGGATTTCAATCCATGACGGCGTAGTGTGTTACTAATGGTTTTCTTTGAGACTGTGGTCCCAGCTCTCTTCAGGTCATTGACCAGGTCCTGCCGTGTAGTTCTGGGCTGATCCCTCACCTTCCTCATGATCATTGATGCCCCACGAGGTGAGATCTTGCATGGAGCCCCAGACCGAGGGTGATTGACCATCATCTTGAACTTCTTCCATTTTCTAATAATTGCGCCAACAGTTGTTGCCTTCTCACCAAGCTGCTTGCCTATTGTCCTGTAGCCCATCCCAGCCTTGTGCAGGTCTACAATTTTATCCCTGATGTCCTTACACAGCTCTCTGGTCTTGGCCATTGTGGAGAGGTTGGAGTCTGTTTGATTGAGTGTGTGGACAGGTGTCTTTTATACAGGTAACGAGTTCAAACAGGTGCTGTTAATACAGGTAATAAGTGGAGAACAGGAGGGCTTCTTAAAGAAAAACTAACAGGTCTGTGAGAGCCGGAATTCTTACTGGTTGGTAGGTGATCAAATACTTATGTCATGCAATAAAATGCAAATGAATTACTTAAAAATCATACAATGTGATTTTCTGGATTTTTGTTTTAGATTCCGTCTCTCACAGTTGAAGTGTACCTATTATAAAAATGACAGACCTCTACATGCTTTGTAAGTAGGAAAACCTGCAAAATAGGCAGTGTATCAAATACTTGTTCTCCCCACTGTATGTCCATTATCAGCAACCATCAGTCCTGTGTTCCAATGGCACATTTTGTTTGCTAATCCAAGTTTATCATTTTAAAAGGCTAATTGATCATTAGAAAACCCTTTTGCAATTAATTTAGCACAGCTGAAAACTGTTGTGCTGATTAAAGAAGCAATAACACTGGCCTTCTTGAGACTAGTTGAGTAGCTGGAGCATCAGGCTAGGTCGCAGTTGTAAATGAGAACTTGTTCTCAACTGGCTTACCTGGTTAAATATAAAAAAATTAACAATTTTTAAAAAAAATCAGCAATTGTGGGTTCGATTACAGGCTCAAAATGGCCAGAAACAAATAAATGGCTATTGTAGCTGCACAAAGTTAAAACATTAACAATGTCTACACTGTATTTCTGTTTGATGTTATTTTAATTAACATAAAATTGCTTTTCTTTCAAAAACAAGGACATTTCTAAGTGACCCCAAACTTTTGAACGGTAATGTACAGTCATGGTCAAAACTTGAGAATGACACAAGTATTGGTCTTCACAAAGTTGGCTGCTTCCGTGTTATGATATATTTTTGTCAGATGTTACTATGGTATACTGAAGTATAATTACAAGCATTCCATAAGTGTCAAAGGCGTTTATTGACAATTACACTAAGTTTATGCAAAGAGTCAATATTTTTCAAGACCTCTGCAATCCACCGCGGCATGCTGTCAATTAACTTCTGGGCCACATCCTGACTGATGGCAGCCTATTCTTGCATAATCAATGCTTGGAGTTTGTCAGAATTTGTGGGTTTTTGTTTGTCCACCCGCCTCTTGAGGATCGACCACAAGTTCTCAAATGGGATTAAGGTCTGGGAGTTTCCTGGCCATGGACCCAAAATGTCGATGTTTTGTTCCCCGAGCCACTTAGTTATCACTTTTGCCTTATGGCAAGGTGCTCCATCATGCTGGAAAAGGCATTGGTCATCACCAAACTGTTCTTGGATGGTTGGGAGAAGTTGCTCTCTGAGGATGTGTTGGTACCATTCTTTATTCATGGCTGTGTACTTAGGCAAAATTGTGAGTGAGCCCACTCCCTTGGCTGAGAAGCAACCCCACACATGAATAGTCTCAGGATGCTTTACTGTTGGCATGACACAGGACTGATGGTAGTGCTCACTTTGTCTTCTCCGGACAAGGTGTTTTCCGGATGCCCCAAACAATCGGAAAGGGGATTCATCAGAGAAAATTACTTTACCCCAGTCCTCAGCAATCCAATCCCTGTACCTTTTGCAGAATATCAGTCTGGCCCTGAGGTTTTTCCTAGAGAGAAGTGGCTTCTTTGCTGCCCTTCTTGACACCAGGCCATCCTCCAAAAGTCTTTGCCTCACTGTGCGTGCTGATGCACTCACAACTGCCTGCTGCCATTCCTGAGAAAGCTCTGCACTGGTGGTGCCCTGATCCCGCAGCTGAATCAACTTTAGGAGACGGTCCTGGCGCTTGCTGGACTTTCTTGGGCGCCCTGACGCCTTCTTCACAACAATTGAACCTCTCTCCTTGATGTTCTTGATGATCCGATAAATTGTTGATTTAGGTGGAATCTTACTAGCAGCAATATCCTTGCCTGTGAAGCCCTTTTTGTGCAAAGCAATGATGACGGCACGTGTTTCCTTGTAGGTAACCATGGTTAACAGAGGAAGAACAATGATTTCAAGCACCACCCTCCTTTTAAAGCTTCCAGTCTGTTATTCTAACTCAATCAGCATGACAGAGTGATCTCCAGCCTTGTCCTCTTCAACACGCTCACCTGTGTTAACGAGAGAATCACTGACATGATGTCAGCTGGTCCTTTTGTGGCAGGGCTGAAATGCAGTGGAAATGTTTTTTGGGGATTAAGTTCATTTTCATGGCAAAGAGGGACTTTGCAATTCATTGCAATTCATCTGATCACTCTTCATAACAAAATTAGTATTTGTGTCATTTTCAAAACTTTTGACCACGACTGTATATACACACACACACACACACGTGGAAGCATTTCTAAAAAACTGTTTTCACTTTGTCATTATGGGGTATTGTGTTTTATTTATTTTTATTTCACCTTTATTTAACCAGGTAAGCCAGTTGAGAACAGGTTCTCATTTACAACTGCGACCTGGCCAAGATAAAGCAAAGTAGTGCAATAAAAACAACACAGAGTTACATATGGGGTAAAAAACATAAAGTCAGAAATACAACAGAAAATATATATACAGTGTGTGCAAATGTAGCAAGTTATGGAGGTAAGGCAATAAATAGGCTATAGTGCAGAATAATTACAATAGTATTAACACTGGAATGCTAGATGTGCAAGAGATTATGTGCAAATAGAGATACTGGGGTGCAAAAGAGCAAAATAAATAACAATATAGGGATGAGGTAGTTGGGTAGGCTAATTTCAGATGGGCTGTGTACAGGTGCAGTGATCGGTAAGGTGCTCTGACAACTGATGCTTAAAGTTATTGAGGGAGATAAGAGTCTCCAGCTTCAGAGATTTTTGCAATTCGTTCCAGTCATTGGCAGCAGAGAACTGGAAGGAATGGCGGCCAAAGGAGGTGTTGGCTTTGGGAATGACCAGTGAGATATACCTGCTGGAGCGCAGACTACGGGTGGGTGCTGCTATGGTGACCAATGAGCTAAGATAAGGCGGGGATTTGCCTAGCAGTGATTTATAGATGGCCTGGAGCCAGTGGGTTTGACGACGAACATGTAGTGAGGACCAGCCAACAAGAGCGTACAGGTCACAGTGGTGGGTAGTGTATGGGGCTTTGGAGACAAAACGGATGGCACTGTGATAGACTACATCCAATTTGCTGAGTAGAGTGTTGGAGGCTATTTTGTAAATGACATCACCGAAGTCAAGGATCGGTAGGATAGTCAGTTTTACGAGGGCATGTTTGGCAGCATGAGTGAAGGAGGCTTTGTTGCGAAATAGGAAGCCGATTCTAGATTTAACTTTGGATTGGAGATTCTTTATGTGAGTCTGGAAGTTGAGTTTACAGTCTAACCAGACACCTAGGTATTTGTAGTTGTCCACATACTCTAGGTCAGACCCGTCGAGAGTGGTGATTCTAGTCGGGTGGGCGGGTGCCAGCAGCGTTCGATTGAAAAGCATGCATTTAGTTTTACTAGTGTTTAAGAGCAGTTGAAGGCTACTGAAGGATTGTTGTATGGCATTGAAGCTCGTTTGGAGGTTTGTTAACACAGTGTCCAATGAAGGGCCAGATGTATACAAAATGGTGTCGTCTGCGTAGAGGTGGATCTGAGAGTCACCAGCAGCAAGAGCGACATCATTGATATACACGGAGAAAAGTGTCGGCCCAAGAATTGAACCCTGTGGCACCCCCATAGAGACTGCCATAGGTCCAGACAACAGGCCCTCCGATTTGACACACTGAACTCTATCTGAGAAGTAGTTGGTGAACCAGGCGAGGCAGTCATTTGAGAAACCAAGGCTATTTAGTCTGCCAATAAGAATGCGGTGGTTGACAGAGTCGAAAGCCTTGGCCAGGTCGATGAAGACGGCTGCACAGTAATGTCTATTATCAATCGCGGTTATAATATCGTTTAGGACCTTGAGCGTGGCTGAAGTGCACCCGTGACCAGCTCGGAAACCGGATTGCATAGCGGAGAAGGTACGGTGGTATTCGAAATGGTCGATGATCTGTTTGTTAACTTGGCTTTCGAATACTTTCGAAAGGCAGGGCAGGATGGATATAGGTCTGTAGCAGTTTGGATCTAGAGTGTCACCCCCTTTGAAGAGGGGGATGACCGCGGCAGCTTTCCAATCTCTGGGGATCTCAGACGTTATGAAAGAGAGGTTGAACAGACTAGTAATAGGGGTTGCGACAATTTCGGCGGCTAGTTTTAGAAAGAAAGGGTCCAGATTGTCTAGCCCAGCTGATTTGTGTGTAGATAGCTGAGAAAAATGTTTTATTTAATCAATTTTAGAATAAGGCTGTAACGTAACAAAATGTGGAAAAAGTCTAGGGGTCTGAATACTTTCAAAGGCACTGTATATCCATAGCTGTGGGGGGCTTTGCTTGACAAAATTATACAGATGGGCTAAAATCACTGGGAACTGGGAAGAGTGTAGTCGTGAGGTTCTTGGATGAGCAGCTCAGAGGATTTGCAGCTGTCCAGAGTGCTACATTTGTGTTAATCCAGCATATGGTAAAAATATATATAAATAATAATATCGCAGGGGGATTTTTACGAAACGTCCAAAACTCATGGTAACAGTTAGTTCAATTGTCAAAAGACAAATTACCATCAGTATTCTTTATATTCATCATGAACCGCATTATATTGGTTAAGAGGTTGAATCACACACCATCATATTCACAGAGCACCAAATCACAGAAATGCTCTAACAGTTTGAAAACTATGACTTCTAGTTGACTAGCTACCTTGCTCAGTTGCACTTACCTTTTTACGTCTCAGTGGCAGTCGTTCCTCCCCAAAGTGGTTCTCAACTGAATTTCCCATATTCCTTGTCGACATTTTCATCTTTTTCTGCATTATACTATGTTCAAACTCATCAATGTTATCTGCAAAAAGAGCTAAGTGTTAGCAAACATTTGATATATAAACTCGAGACAGAAAAAGTCTGGAGGGAATTTTCCAGGAGTGTTATAGCAAATATGAACCATAAAACCATTCTTCATCCATGCATCTCAATCTTGCCTGAATTTCACCCATCCTTAGTAAACAAGTTGTATGTAGTTTTTGTTTTCTAGCCAACTAGCTAATATAGTTTGCTATCCAGTGTGAACCGAGAATGGTTAGCTAGCTACAGTACGACAATCTCAAACAACAACAACAACAACAACAACAACAAACCTAGCTAATGCACTCAACTGACATCATTAGCCAGGGACTGTTCAGACACGAGGATTAGTAATCTAGCTAAATACCCTATCTGTTACACGATGCATGTGTGAATGCGTGCACAAAACGTTACACTCAAATATGTGTCTGGGAAACGTTATTGATAGCTATAATAACCGGTGTGATCGATACATATTGCTAGCTAACTTGTATGCAGCTGGCTTGACGTTGTCCGAGCTAACTAGCAAATGTCGACTGACAGTGACAGTCATCACATCATGTAGCTAGCTAGCTATCATATCAACAACCATATCGGGGTGTATTGCAAGCTAAAGTAACGTATACAATGTTAGTAAACAATCTGGATGTGTGAGTGGCTGGCTAAACTAACGCGTTAGCTGGCTGGCTGGCTAGCTAGCTCACCTTAGCTAGCAAGCTAACGTTAATGTCACATAGTTAGTTAGGTAACGTTAGATATATTAGTTAGCTAAAAACACTGTCAGCAAGAAAGCTACCTATGCAAATATGGGATGACAGCAAATGCCGCCCTGAAAAATAACCGTCTTTAAACTAGGTAACGTTAGCAATAGCATCGTGGCGAGAACATTGTCAGCTTGATAACTAACGTTAGCTAACTAGCAAACTTAATGTGTTTGACAGCAGACCGAAAGGCTTGTTTTCTTACTCTCTAGGATCTGTCTAGTCTACATTTGTCAAACAATTGAACTATTTAAATGCATAAACAGTCAAACTAAGAGAGCATGAAGATAACATACCTGCAAGGGCAAGAATATGTGCTTTGCACGGCTGGCCTGTACCATTCCCTTCTGTTCTGAGAACCAGATACACCTTCTGATTATCAAAATCTGTTTTGTGCAGAGGTCTAAAATCTTTCACATTTGAAGCGGGTAAAGCGTAACACATATCGTCTTCCAAGAACCTCACAAAAGCATACATTATTTCTCTTTGGTCTTGCACTTTGGATATGGTTGACAGTTTTCCCTCTATAAGTATAAAATATATATATATATATATATATATATATATATAAACACAAATGGGAGTTGGGAAGGGCTTCTATTCTGCACTCTGCTACTCTGGCCTGGTCCACATCATTTCAGGAAATTAGCTGCGCGCTCCATCACAAGACCTTGCTAATGGAGACAAGAACGAGCTTCTTATATTTTTCTTTATCAAAATTCAATTGAAAATAAATTAATGAAATCATTGAAATAATATATCATTGACTGACAGATACAGTACATAAGATAACAGGCCACACTACCTACACATCTACCCTACATAATATCCTAAAGTAAAGACAATGGCAGGAATTCAATCAAACCTGCATCTCAGAACCCTGACACTTTTTTTTGTGTTTTTGTGCCATAAAGTTAATTATTTGGAAGTATATTTTTTGTGGCACAGAAAATGTGATTGATTTAAAAACCACCCCTTAACTGTAACTCAAAAGGAGCTGAACGATAGCACCTTGTTGGTGATTGTGACTGTCAGTGATAAAGCACACATTTATGTCATCACTCAGAGAAATTTAATCTAGAGGAATCTTTATTTTGGTGTTTGTACATACAGAAATTATAGTTTGAAATACAGTAAAAGTCAACTACCTCAACTACTGAGGATATTCAAGAAACATGGTCCCCGATGAGCTGACTACAATATTTCAGCTTTTTGTCCTGCTGTTTCTTTCCAGATACTTCCAGTTAGAAGACAAAAAAAACATCATTATTGTAATCAATAAATTCACCTATTACTTTCATTCTGCCTCTGTAGGTCCCATTGAGTCCTCAACCCCCTGGAATGAAACCAAAAGAGGAGAAGAAGGCCACAGAGATGATTATCTGGTCTAATCTCTGATTCCATTTGTCTGTGGGCGTACAAGTGTGTCTCAGTCAATGTGTTGCCTGGTGTACCTTTTCATCTTTCCCTTGTTTTACACTAGGATGTGTCACGAACCGGCTCAAGTTCGTAACAAAAGGGAGACACGTGGAGACAAGGAATACTTAAAGTATATATTTATTAACTAAAGTAAACTAACTCAAATAACAATGGGGTGTGTAATCAGTAATCAGTAGTGTAAGTGAGTGTTTGCTTGCATAAATGTAATATGGAAAAGTGTTGAGAGGTGCCAAAGCAAACAACCAAAAAGACCACAAAAATACCACAACCAAAGTCAAAGTATCTGCCTGGAGAGAGTCTCTTTCATGAATGTGGAAGAGGTCCATTTATGCTGGGACACACCCGGCCCAGGTGTTTCCCATGTAGCTGACGACCCTCCCAACTCCGCCCACCGGCATCCTAATAAGGAAATAAGAGCAAAGAGAGAATACGGCAGACAGAGTGGGAGGGTCGTCACACCCCCCCCCCCCCATAAGACCGGGGACCAACAAGGACCCCGGACCAACGTACCAGCCCCTGCGTCCCAACCCGACAAATTGTACATGTTCACACCTCCACTTGCCCCCCCATCATCCTCCTCTCCAGACCTCAGCAACCTTTACACAGGAAGCAACCTTTAAGAGGAAAGAAGAACACAAGACTAGGAAGGGACAAACAGGAAAGATAGAACATTACAAAATCAAACAATGGTCGGTCACATCAATATTCATGAACAGGGCGCACGAGAGAGCGCATCAGCAATCACGTTATCAGTCCCCCGGATGTGCCGCACATCTAGATGGAAGGATTGTAAAAATAAACACCATCTCATTATCCTCTGATTAGGGCACCTCATGGACCTCAAAAAGGTGAGAGGGTTATGGTCGGTGTAGACCACAATAGGTACTACACCCGACCCAACATACACTTCAAAGTGTTGTAGCGCCCATATAAGTGCTAATGCTTCTTTTTCAATGACCGAATAGTTCAACTGATAATGGTTAAACTTTTTGGAAAAGAAACTAACAGGCCTCTCAACCCCAGCCACATCTGCTTGCAGCAAAACTGCACCCGCCCCCACATGACTAGCATCCACCTGCAAGGTAAATGACAAATCCACACGAGGAGCAGCCAGTACCGGAGTTGAAGTAAGCAACCTCTTTGCATCTTCGAAAGCCTGTTGACAATGAGAAGACCATACGTACACAGCCTTAGCTTTCAGCAAATCTGTCAAGGGAGCGACCACAGTAGAGAAGTTCCTACAAAAACCACGATAATACCCAATCATTCCCAAGAAACACATCAGTTCCTTTTTAGTAGCTGGTAGTGGAAAAGCATCAATAGCTACCACTTTAGCCCGAACAGGACGCACTTCACCCTGCCCAACCACCTTTCCAAGGTATGTAACAGTCGCCTGAGCAAACTCCCATTTAGCCAAATTTATCGTGAGGCGACCCGCAGCCAGACGTCCAAACAAGGCTTGAATACGGGACAGATGTTCCTCCCAAGTATCTGCATACATCACTACATCGTCCAGATAAACAGCGCACCCGGCCAGACCAGAGACAACCCTGTTCATAAGTCGCTGAAAAGTGGCAGGCGCATTACGCAGTCCGAAACTCATAACCGAATACGAGTACAGACCAAAAGGTGTAATAAAGGCGGAGATTTCACGTGCCCTACTCGTCAGTGGCACCTGCCAATAGCCCTTTAACAGGTCAAATTTGCTCACAAACTTAGCTGCGCCGACTTGATCAACGCAGTCCTCCATCCGAGGAAGAGGAAATGAATCCGGCTTAGTGACATCGTTTACCTTACGGTAGTCCGTACAAAATCTATTTGTTCCATCCGATTTACTGACCAAGATACAGGGAGAAGCCCAACTGGAGAAAGAAGGCTCTGCTATTTTACTCTCCAGCATGTACCGGACCTCAGCATCCAGACAACGCAGTTTCTCTGAAGAAACTCTAAAGAACCGTTGACGAATGGGGTCAGCATCTCCAATGTCAATATCATGTTCTATTAAGTTTGTACGTGTAGGTGTATCAGAAAACAACCCTGGAAATCTCCGAATCAAACCAACTATCTCTTTCCGCCCATCAACAGGTAGATGAGTAAGAAGGCTATCTAAAATCTCCAGTGTCTCTGAATTTTTCAATCTACCCTGCAGTATGCAATCGTCGGGACCAGAAACATCTTCCTGCTCCTGCACAGACCTAGCATGACCAGAACTCTTGGAATAAACAGTATCAGCCAAAAGAACAGCCTTACCGTCGTCCGTAGACTCCCACTGTTCAGTCTCAGAGGAACGTGCATAATAGGGTTTTAACAAATTTACATGGCACAGTTGGTGTGCTTTCCTCCGTTCTGGAGTGGCAACTAGATAATTTTGCTCAGTGTACTGGCGCACCACTGTATATGGACCTTGAAACTTGGCTTGAAAAGGAGAACCAACAATTGGCAGCAGAGCCAGAACCTGATCACCTGGACTAAACTGACGAGGCTCAGCTCGGCGATCATATATGCTCTTCATCCTGTCCTGTGAAGATGATAGCTTCTCTTTAGCCATTTCACCAGCGGCATACAAGCGTCGCCGAAAATCACCCACATATGATAACAGGGACTGAGGAGGCTCGGGAGACTTCCAGTCATCCTGGAGAACAGATAAAAGCCCACGCACCCGATGTCCAAACACTAGGTCATTTGGGCTAAAACCCGTGCTCTCCTGTGAAACCTCCCTAGCAGCTAACAATAACCAAGGCAACCCCTCCTCCCAATCCTTTTCCATCTCAGTACAATAAGCTCTCAACAAAGACTTAAGTGTTTGATGGAAACGTTCCAGTGCTCCTTGACTTTGGGCATGATAGGCGCTAGACAAGTTGTGTTTAATATGGAGTTGTTGGAGAACCTGACCAAAGAGATTAGAGGTGAAATTAGATCCTTGATCACTTTGAATGACCTTAGGGATTCCAAACAGTGAGAGAAACTGAGTCAAAGCTTTTAACACAGCCTTTGGAAAGTCATAACTGCAGAGGCAGAACACCAGCGATTGAACTGTGAAGATAATATTCGCGCAAACTCAACATGAGTCTGCTGATCATCCCTTTTTAAAGTTCCAAATCGTTGGCGGTAAGCCTCAGGGACCAATTCATAACTCTGTAACACAGCCGTTTTAACCTTCTCATAACTAACACTGTCTGCTACACTAAGAGCTGAATATGCTTCTTGCGCTTTACCAGTCAGCACACACTGCAACATCAAAGTGCGATCAGAATCAGGCCAACTCCTAGCGTCAGCAACACGCTCAAACAACGAAAAGAATGTCTCTGGGTCCTTTTCATTAAACTGGGGCAACAACCGTAAATTCCCAACAATATCAAATGTGTCTGGATTACGACCAAAAGAGGAACGACCCCTAGGTAACTCTGGGTCACCTTCCCAGAGCAAACTCTCCCCTGAGAGCTTTCCTTCCCTAACCAACTCTAGTCGCTCTTGTTGCAGCTTGATTTTAGCACGCTCCATATCCTGTTTAAATTCCAATTCCCTTTCATATTTTACACGATCATGCTCCATTTTAGCTCTTTGTCCATTTCGTTCATGCTCCATTTTAGCTTGTTCATGCTCCAGCTGTAACAGAAGCAGTTCTTTCTGCTGTTCAAAAAGAAGACTACTATGACTAACCGATGGAGCGGTCATTGTAACATATCGGGGAGACAACGTGTCCTCAGCAGAGGCTGCCCCAGTGGTAACATCCAGAATACCACTCTCCATCAAATTGGCCTTCAATATTAACCTAATATAATTTTTTTGGCATTTATCACTAATTTCAACCTTGTAGTGTTCAGCAACCTTCAACAGCTGTTCTTTAGTACATAATTCTAACAGTTCTTATGATGGAAAGCGAATGAACTCGTCTACATTAGACGCCATAATCAGGAGAAAAAAAATAATTAAATATATATATATATCATAATAATCTTGCTCAACCCCTCTGCTGAGCACACCAGACACAAGATAAATGACAATCACACCGAGCACCACAGAAGAGAGCTGGGATA